TAATAGAACAATATTTCTTATGTTCATAATGCCACAGCACTCCATTAGTTTTTGTTTTCTAGCGAAAGCGATTTTTGTAGAGATGAGTGAAATTACTCGGAACTATGTAATGATTCACTTGTTTATTTCTTTCAACAATTCAGATCCGACGCATCATCCTAAAAACAGACTCTAATAACAATATTCGAAGTGAAGATGGCTACTAATTTTTCTCGATTATCTCCAATGCCAGCATTACGAGACTTTATTCATATGTATAAACTACGTGCCAAAAAAATACTCTCACAGAATTATTTAATGGATATGAATTTAACACGAAAGGTAAGTGAATAGCATGAGTGAATATGTAATTTAAAAGAAACAAATCACTACTGAATATATGTAATTATGATAAAATTTGTTTTATTTTGTTATCAAATACAATGAAAATGTTCTTCGTTGATGTATAGAGATCGTGAAGTAATCTTCATGTAAGTAATGAAACCAACTCTTTTGGAGGTAAGGAGGGAGGCGATGGATGATTCAATTGAACTGAAACATTATCTGATGGTAATCTTAGGCACAAAGAATATTACCCATCAATGTATGTCTCGAACCCACTCAATATCAGAACCCAGAACGTGTCAATGTCTGTCACGAACCCACCTGAAAAAGATTGCTCCAGTTGCAGAATCCGCTCCGAAAGCAATACCAAAACAAATGCAAAGTTTATAGCTGTGAATGAAGAAGAATGTTGATAGCGGATGCTGGAATTACGAGAATGATTGTAGAATGAAATCAACAGTGTAAAAGTGAATTCAGATAGTACGTAGTGCTGGCATACAAGAAGGTGATTGTGTTGTGGAAATAGGGCCAGGACCAGGTGGTATAACACGTGCAGTAATTGAAATGAACTGCAATCGTTTGGACGCAATTGAAATCGATAAGAGATTTCTGCCACCTCTGCAGGTCGTTTCATCTATTCATTTATCTCTTTACTTATTTAGATACGTATTTACTGTGTATTTTTTATTATTGTTATGAATATTGTCATTATCATTACTACTATTATGCAGTGAATCCTCAATTCCTGTCCAGTTTTGCTAACATCCAAAATTGTAGTTAAAAGTTCGTCTCGATGTAGGACAACTGCTCAGTTGAGGACCGTTTTCAATCTGTTTTACATCATTCTGTCAAATATACTTATTTGAGGGGATTCGTAATGAAATTTGGCTGGCCATTTTTAAAACTTTTCCACGCAGTAATGAAGAGCAGTCGTCTATTTGTTCAGTTTATGATTTTTATCTCTTCAAGTTCTGCTTTGATTAAAGGAAATTGTCTTCGTGAGGAGGTATCTCAAGTCTCTGTAGCGATAAATCGTTTTATTAGTAAAGAATTCAAGACTGAAAATGGTTAATAAGCAGATTTCCTTCTTAATGAGATTTGAAACTAATGAATCACAAACATGTTCTAAAGATACATTTTCGAAGGTTTTGAAAACTAACTATGAAACAATCTTTCTCGGCATTGCTTGCATTATCACAGGAAATGAATGAGATTCTGATCATGCGTGCCGTTCTTAATTCTTGATCATATTCTGAGCTTCAAAAACGCTTTGATAAAGGCTACTCATGCTTAACTCTATTAATAAAAATTTGTACTGGGGAGAGTCGGATCGGTTGCAACGAATTGACGTTTGTTTCATCTATTACTATGCTTCGGTTCATGCCTAGACGTAGTTAAGATCAAGCTTTTGGAATAATCTCAAGGAAAGTCTGAAAGTGATCGATTCAACTATTTTTTTGCAAGAAAGTATCGTCCCATATCTTTATATTAAATTGAAGAAAATTGATTTTTTATGAGGAATTTCTTTCGCAGGATTTGGTATCAGATTAAATTATAATTAATGTTCATTGGTTGGTAAGGATTATGATAATCATTTGAGTGATTAAAATTACTGTGTTTTGAATGATTAATCGAACTGTCGTTTCAGCATTTGACAGAAGCTAGCGGAACACGTTTGTTCGTTCATCATGCTGATGCATTAAAAACTGATATTGGCAATATCTGGAAGAATAGTAACGATTTATCACTGGATATGAACAGAGCTGCGTGGAATGATGAATGTCCTCGTTTACATGTGATTGGTAATTTACCGTTTCATATTGCATCACCTCTAATTATCAAGTAAGTTGTTGTTGAATTCGTCATGAGTTCATGATTAGAATACGCATAAGCACAGATATTTACGTGAAATGCATAATCGAACAAGCGCATGGTCTTATGGACGTGTACCGTTGACGTTAACATTTCAAATGGAAGTTGCACGTCGAATATGTGCACCGATCGACTCGGACTATCGAGCGCGCATATCGATCATGTCGAATTTCGTTTCAGTACCAAGTATACTTTTTCAAATACCCGGTTAGTCGATACTATTTGTTCGAAATTATCGTTTCACGATAGTTCCATTCATTTGCTTATCACTTTCATTCTGTCGCAATACCATCGCTTTTAATCAGCACATAACGGTATCTTTTTACTGATTTAGTAATTTCTTTTCAATTTCAGGGAATTGTTTTGTTCCAAAACCAAAAGTAGACGTTGGTGTAGTACAGTTCATACCACGAATAGAACCGCTTATCAAGTCTTCATTCGAGGTCTTTCCTTACCCTTGTTGTTATTCGTATTGTTATTGTCGTTATTAATTTCATTTTTACGGTCAATATTTTTTGTCATTATCATTATAACTATATCATTATTGTCACCATTACTTTTATTATTACTGTTTTTATTACTGCTTGTTTTGTTATTATTATCATTATTTTTTACGGCGAAGAAACGAGTGATTCTAAAGGTTGAGACTTAATAAACATCAGTATGACATTTTCAGTTAGTTGAGAAAATATGCCGCCATGTATTTCATTACCGCCAGAAGTATGTAATCAAGTGTTTACGTACCTTATATCCACCGACGTTATCGGATTCGCTATCGCATGAATTATTATCAGAATGTCGAATCGCTCCGTCAACCATCTCTATCCAACTTGGCATGGAGCAATTCGCGGATATTTGTTATGCGTACGAGGAACAGTGCAAACGGTTGTTAATTTATTGATGATTAACTGCATATTCATTCTGTTCATTGATTCAGTCGAATTTTATTTATTTTTCGAATTCATCATTGACAGTTGTGGTACTTTGCTTTTTTGAGTATTCGTCAATAAGTAGTTCAGAATAGCTACTGGCTATGCTGATTCAACATTGAGAATCTCATCCAATGAATACTTATTGGTTAGCTTGTTCGCATAAATAAAGAAACATACCGAAATTAATGAAACGTGAACTAAGGGAAAAAAGCTTATTTAAACGAGTCTTTTTCAACAATACGGAATGCCATTCTTTTAGGATATATTGAGTAATCGATTAAATTTTCAGATATCCCGGTTTATTTCTTTATGATTATACGAAACCGAATCGAGAATTGGATCACTTATCACGTCTTGCAAATGCTTTACCCCCACTGTATTCGTTTCGAGACAGTTTTCGAAGTGTTAATAACGGTGTTTCGTTGTCAAATTCTGAAAGCATTTTTCACTGATCACATTTTCTTGTAATTCGTTTGATTTTCTACGAGTGATATCCATTTACGCATATGTTGTTATTGTGTGCTCAAGGTTTGGCATCATATCTGACATGAATGGCTCTAAATGGAACATCGCAACAAGCACTTCTTCATCTCAGCAACCCTACAGAAATCATTTTATCATGCGCTTATTGCAACTGATGTATGTGCATGTCACTTTAATGTGCA